TCTGTGATTGTATTGTTTGTATATCAACGATTTATTGGTTCCCCCAATGTGTGATTGTATTGTTTGTGTATCAACAATTGATTGGTTCCCCCCCCCCAATATCTGTGATTGTATTGTTTGTATATCAACGATTTATTGGTTCCCCCAATGTGTGATTGTATTGTTTGTGTATCAACAATTGATTGGTTCCCCCCCCCCAATATCTGTGATTGTATTGTTTGTATATCAACGATTTATTGGTTCCCCCAATGTGTGATTGTATTGTTTGTGTATCAACAATTGATTGGTTCCCCCCCCCCAATATCTGTGATTGTATTGTTTGTATATCAACGATTTATTGGTTCCCCCAATGTGTGATTGTATTGTTTGTGTATCAACAATTGATTGGTTCCCCCCCCCCAATATCTGTGATTGTATTGTTTGTATATCAACGATTTATTGGTTCCCCCAATGTGTGATTGTATTGTTTGTGTATCAACAATTGATTGGTTCCCCCCCCCCAATATCTGTGATTGTATTGTTTGTATATCAACGATTTATTGGTTCCCCCAATGTGTGATTGTATTGTTTGTGTATCAACAATTGATTGGTTCCCCCCCCCCAATATCTGTGATTGTATTGTTTGTATATCAACGATTTATTGGTTCCCCCAATGTGTGATTGTATTGTTTGTGTATCAACAATTGATTGGTTCCCCCCCCCCAATATCTGTGATTGTATTGTTTGTATATCAACGATTTATTGGTTCCCCCAATGTGTGATTGTATTGTTTGTGTATTGTTAGAATGCTCGAGTCAGAGGTATTTTGGTCATTCTGGTGTATCTTATTGAAAGTGAAATGTCTATTGTATCTGAGTTTAAGTTATGTGTCCCATCTTCTATGAGGGACAACATTGTCTTTCTTGTAACTTAAGTTTTATGAATAAAAGTCAAGTGGGTCGGCTAGGAGAGGGTGACTTTCACTTTTCTCTCTTCTAGTCTGGCCAAACATTCTTCTCCTTCTTTCTCTTTTCTTTCTTCTTCCTTCTTCTCTGCTTTAACCTAGAATGAACTAGGGTTTATTCAAATGTATCAACGATTTACATGAAATCATTTTAGTATTAAGACCAAGTATACAGCTTGTTTTTTCTTTATTTCATAAGGGTTTTTTTTTGTTCAATCGGATAGGAGGAGAACCGAAGACTTCAAGCCCCAGCCCAACTCCATCGCACCTCAGCTCCAGCAGGTAAGTTCTTATTTTCCATATTTCAAACATTTTTTCCTTTTTTTTCAAAAAAACAGGGGCTCCGCCAGTCCTCCCTTTCTGCACTCATCAACATCACCATCATCATCTTCTTCTCTTTTCCAGATTTTAGTCGAATCAGTCCTGAGTTCTCTCTTCTCAGCTCAGACATTTTTTCATTTTTTTTCGAAAAAATAGGGGCTCCGCCCCTATACTCTTCCTTCCTCCCTTTCTCCACTCATCATCATTTTTTTTTTAAAACAGGGGCTCCGCCCTATACTCCTCTCCTTTTACTGATTCAGTCATTGTTCTCACTTCTCACTTTAGTTTTTAACAACAAAACCTATCATTAATATATATGAATATGATTATATGGCTGAAATCTATAGATTTTATATTTATAGATTCCACCGCCTAGGCGCCCGCCTGGGCACCCCATGGTCGCTTAGCCTCACCTAGTCGCGTTGACAACTATGCTCCTAGTAACTTAGCAAATGCATTGTCGAGGAAACTACTAACTAGAGTTGGCCAGTTATTTGAAAGTGTGGATGAGTTCCATGCATCCATAGCAAAATTCTCTATAGCTCATCGATTTGCACTCTTTTGTCAAAAATGACAGTCACCGAATACATGCTCAATGCAAGACTGATAACTGTGCTTGGGAGGTCCAAGCCAGTGCACTGGGCGATGGCCCAACATTCAGGGTACACAAGTTTCAGGAGTTGCATAGTCATACAACAAGTGATGATTGCTCAGTCAACCTTTCAAGGTCGACGAAGTTCATTGGAGAATTAATTGTGGACAAGGTATGTGACAGCCTAAAGTATACCCCACTTGAGATAATGAAAGACTTCCAACGCAACTATGCAATGGATTTGAGCTACCAACAGGCTTGAAGGGGTAATGAGGCAGCATGGCTAATGATAAATGGGGCTGATGATGAATCATACAATCGCGTTCCATGGTTGTGTGATAAGATAGTAGAGTCCAATTCTGGCTCTTACGTCACATATACGGTTGATAGCGAGGGTCGGTTCAAGCAGCTGTTTATTTCATTCTATGCATCATTGCATGAGTTTTGGTCAGGTTTCCGACCATTGCTATTTTGTAGACGGTGCTCATCTTAATGGTAATACCAAGGCACCCTGCTTCCGCCACATCCATTGATGCAAACAATTGAATGTTCCCCATAGAGTTCACAATTGTACCGGTAGAGACATTTGATGATTGTCATTGGTTTATGCAACACTTGAAGGCAACGCTGCAGGACACACGTGACATTGTGGTCGTCTCGAACAGAGATACCAGCATCAAGGAGGCGATACAAAATGTGTTCAATCCTGCATTGAATGCGTACTGCTGCCGACACCTAATGAAGAACCTGAACACATACCTCACACGTCTTCACCTGTCCAAGGCTATGCGGGACGCTATAAAACAGGTGGTGTACAAGTTGATGTACGCTAGATCAGTGTCCAAGTATCAATCACTTCTTAAGAGACTAGCAATTCTGAATCCACAAGTAGCAAGATGGGTTAATGCAACTGAACCATCACGGTGGTCTAATTCCATGTTCCCAGGGAAGAGGTATGACCGAATGTCGTCCAACATTGCAGAGACCTTTAATGGATGGGTCTCAGACGCTCGAGATCAGCCAATAACGTCACTGGTTAACACAATTCGACTGAAGATGATGGAACTATTTTAGAAGTGTCACTGCGATGCACACAAATGCACAGGTGTCGTTTCCAGGAGAATAGATGAGAAGTTGCACACAGTTGTGAATGCCAACGCCAACCTACAAATGACAAGATCATCATTGTATTAGTTCGAGGTGAGAAAGGGTGATAACGTGTGCTGTGTACGGTTGGATGCCAAGCATTGTGACTGTCTTGCATGGCAACTGAGTGGGTTGCCGTGTGTGCAAGCTTGTCGCCCGCGTCCGAGTCTGAACAATCCTGGAGATAGGCTGATCCAGTCACTGAGGCCTCCAACACAGACACTACAATGACCCGTGAATCATTCCATCTCGGTTTCTGCATAAAATAATCCACCAAGGTGGACTAGAGTAGGTTGGAACGCACATAGTGCTCCCACACCACACGTTCACCCCTCTCGGACGCATCCGCCCGCGTCCAATCACCACGATCCTGCATGAGCATACATTCGGCCACTTCTGTTTACATACAATTTCATAACCACCATAAAAAATATATCCCTCTTGAACCTCAATAGAGGGTTCAGACCACCACAACTACAACCACATGACCACCAAGGCTGTCATGCATGGTGACAGCAGTCTAAAAATTTTCCACTAGGGTTGCCGCACTCCCCCTTCACTTGTAACTAGGCCAATGTAACCCTAGGAATGCCTGAATAGGTTGCCACAGACTTCTGGGGATTGTCGCAGCCTTCTCCACCACTTACTCCAGATTATGCAGACCAGAAAAATAAAAAAAATAAAAGAAAGAAAGAGGAAAGAGGATCTGATCGAATGAAGTTGTAGTCTCCCTTTCTCCTTTTTAAAGGCACTCTGATACCTTGTAAGAATGGTTCAGTCAAACTAGTTTCAGAGATAGAGAAGAAAGAAAGAGAGAAGGAGAAGAAGAAGAAGAAGAGATGAGAAAGAAGTGTCAAACTGAGAAGTCAAAAAGACTCCCAGCCAACCATATATTTTTATATCAAAAGCAATGTACGAAGTCTAATATGCAAAGTATGGGACATGTAATTAACATAATACTTAAACAGAAAAGACTGAAATTCCCTTCCTTAGCCGACTCTAACAGTTATCTTGGTATCAGAGCAGGTTGCTTTATGATTTCTTCTTGCTCATTCAACTCTCAAGACAGTTGCCCTCTGCCCATCATTCACTTTCAAAACCTTCTCCCATTTAAGCCAAGTCTCCCCTGAACAACAAATTCTTTGCTTCAACCTTCAACAATCTCTTCCACATTGACATATCTTCCATTTCATAAAATCACTTTCTTCATCTCCTCTTGTCAATGGTTTCAAGTGCCACTTTGGTCAAGAAGCTATTCAGGGATAGAAAATATATATGCAACTAGGAGTATCTAAATGCTTAGAATTGACTTAAATCTGGGAAACAAAACTTGTATCTCTAGAAATGAGAATGATGTCATCAAAAATCATAATATTTGAAGCAATAAAAACATCTGTAAATAAAAAAGACCCCTTGAACAAGGGCCAGATAGAAGGCCAGCCCATTGGGCTACCCGGTCCATGAATGGTCTACTCAAGAGTGGCTTTCCAAAAATCAGGAACCTCAAACCATCAAATCACCAAACAAGTTTTACCTACTTGAATAGAGACTAGATAGACTACAAAACAAAGAACAATGAATAGGCCAATACTGCAATAGTAATCCCCCCAAATCAGATGATAGAACCATCCTCAACCATGAGCTCAATGAATGCAATGCAGTCATCAAATAATGTTCAGTGATTGAGGAACTCATAAATGTTTAATGAATCTTAAAAACACTGGTTTCTTCTAGTTCAAAAACCTTTGGTTGGAACCTTGGTGCTTTACACATTCCAACCAACAAAATACCAAGGAGCATGGCCAAATCATGAAAAACTTATTACAACCAAACTGACAGTTTATAATTACATTACTCAAGGATAGTAAATTGATATATGGGAAAACCAGGTGCATCTTTCTCAGTTCCAAATTCAATGAATTATATTTTCCATTTTTAAATTCATATATAACTATGGAAATTGGAAGCAATATGAAAACAAAAAGTTGCACATTTTACCACATTGGATGCAGTTCCCCCAGGGCAACAAGAAAGCAATATCAAACCAACTGAAAGAGATGGTGGAAGCCCAAGTAGTTTGCTAATAATCAATCCAAAAGCTGGCATAATTGTATACTGAGCAACACATCCAAAGAGTATCTGACCAAAGAAAAAAAAAACAGAACCTCATGAACTGAAACACTTGATTGCAAGAGAAGCTTAATATAGTAGAAGCCAGAAGTTTCTGCTGTCTTCAAGGAAACCTCCAATGGAAATGGGTTGACTCACTGAAAGACTTTTGAATGTCATTTCTCAGTAATTAAAAAATATTGCTTTGATCTTTTTATGAGTAATAACTTTCCCTAAATTTTAACCCCAAGGTTGTTAGTAACTCCTTCTAAAGGGCCTAAGCAGTCAGAGGATTCTGGCAACAATATATTTATTTAATAGTTATACTAACGAGTAAGAATTTATGAATTATTCAAACCCTGTTATATTTAAAAAAATACAAGTTCATCTGTTGGTCCATTAACTAAAAAGAGGTCATTTGTTAGCCATTCCTAGTTCCAGCAATCCAGGGTCTTGGAAGGTGTATACTGGGTACTCGCCTAACCTCGAGCATTTTAGCAAGAAGTGACTGATCTCAGACTTGAATCTGCATTCTCATGCTTGTTGGTCCATTAACTCTTACTCTCAATTAATCATAATTAAACTTACAGATCTACTGTTAAAGAAAAAATAATGAAAAGCATAAGTAGGAAAAGTTGGTAAGTATTTTGTCGTAACAATTTTTGTTCTTTATTTTTCGTCTGATAAAGAACAAACATTTTTTCAAATCATAGAAACATAAGTATAACAGAAAAGTGCCAGATGCTAAAAGAAGCTAGACAGAAGATTCTTGTTATAAATATTTATTGGTAAGACTCTTGTTATGGTGATCCCACAGAAATCTCTTCAGTAGAAACTCTACTCTTGGGAAGTTGCCAGCTAGACTAGGAATTAAAGTGAATATTCATCCTTTAGTAAAGGTCCTGAAGGGATGAGAGAGCCATCATATGGACGCCCAAATCTTGCGGAATAAAGGGGCGAATTTCAAAATTTTTTCTTTCCCTTCAACTGGGAATCGCATTCCCTATTTAGAAAATCACATTTTCAATGATCATTCTTGAACCATAAACTGAACCAGATCTGAACCAAAAAAAGTAGGAGAGGATTATACCTGATACAGAGAAACAATATCTCCCAACGAAGGTGTTCACGCCCAAGGAAGGATCCAAAGACTGCTCCCACTGAAGATGGTGCAATGCAGGATGGAGTAGAATCAGCAGTATTCTTCTCCAAGAATTTTGTCCTTCGCAAGAAATAGCAAAATGGCACGTGAGCACAGCTTCCTATTAATTCTTTCTCAAAGAACTGATGTCAAGATCGAATCTTGAATTCTCCCACAACTGGAGATCGAACTGGCAAACAGGGCGGCAAGAAAGATTTCTGCAGGGTTGCTTAATTCTTTCTTCTGTGTTTTCAGCTCTCAAGGAGGATGTGAATTATCTCTACCAAAAGTTGCCACCCCTTTTTTCTCTTGTAACCCTAAAGGATCAGATCCTAATCCAATTAGGACTCGTTGATCCAAATCTGATTTGGATCAGACATCCCTTTAGGTGATAAGGATAAACCCTTATCTTATCTGCAAATTAGATTAGCTTTCTCCTAATCTCATTAGGAGGTTTCTAGATCTTAATCACATTCAGATCTGRACTCTCTGAGTGGATAGGGTTATGACCCTATCCTATCTGCTAATCCATCTTAGAATTCGCCCCATATTTAACTAATTAAATAGCCCAGTACAAAATGGGCTTTAGGCCCATTAAGCTTATGTGCTCACTTAACCTTCCTAACTACTGTCCAGTTGGGCTTCCTTGTATGGCGTGGGACCCAAGCATTGATCTACACATCAGCCACATGGGTTCGGCCCAGCCTTTGTTACAAGGCCTGGCCGAATACACCGCTATGAACAGTGCACCCCCTGAAACCCATCAAAT